TGTCGTACCTATAACTCTTAATCGTCAACCTCTCTCTCTTATGCGCTTTATCATTGTGAAAACCACCAGGAAGACAAAGACCTACTCTTGTGTACCTTCACCAACCCACAACCCAACCTATGGTAACCTTCATGATCTTTTCTTTGAAACTCCCACATTGAGGACAATATGTTGCTCAAGTGTGGGGGAATGCGTGTGAATGTTTGAATGATTATCATGATTGGTAGAACCATGAATTGCTAGTATCCTCCCTTGTTTGTGAATGTAAGACATTGATGAATGCGTATGGGAGTATGTGCTAGCAATTGTGTTTGTTTTGTGATGGTCAATGCTCAAATGATAGTGTTTTGTAACCTTGAATGCAATACCCAAAGTTTTTCAAATTTGAGGGTTCCAAATCACCTTGTTCCTTGCAACTCCCTACTCAATATTCTTTGATTTGCTAGATAATTGATGTGTTGTGCTCGCTAGGTGATAGTTGCATGATTAGAGTACGGTTGTATGGGTAATTTTGCTATCTTCTTCCTCTTTTGTGAGTTGATAATATTTGCTATTTTAGGAAGAACATATGTGTGGGATTCTATTTTTTGTTTGATTTTCGAACTCGGAGCTTTTAAAGATTTGTGTGTATTAGAAAAGAAAGAAACGGGAGAAAAATCTTTTAAAAATGAGGTTCTCACGTGAGAGGCAACCAATCCTCACGGATTAGGAGTTCCCTTTGAGGATATGCTTTGGGATCAGATAGCTTTACCGCGTCCCGACCATCTTTCACTACTTACCATCCCCCAGGTATCTTTCCTCCTCACGAAAACGTATACAAAGGTCCAAAGTACCTTTTAGCCATTCATGAGACCTCAAAGCTTTCGTTTGTACCCAACATATGTGGCAACCAATATGGAGTGCAGATTGGGAAGTGGTGCTCGGGCTAAGACGAATCCGCCCATCAACTTCCCCACATGACCTTGAAAGGGAAGCCAATGATTCATTTGCTCTTGGTCATGAGGGATAGATGCTTGTTCACAAAAGAATTGTAAGAGCTTTGTGCAATGTGCTTCAATTAGGGGTGAGCATACGGTTCGGTAAAACCGAACCAAATATAAACCAAACCGAAACCGAATTAATGTTATTCGGTTCGGAATTAGTAAGGGAAAATGACATATTTCGGAAATCATGGTCCTTTCGACCGAACCGAATTTCCGAACCAAATAACCGAATTACTATAATTGCAAGCTCCAAATGGTGGGTTTTTATGTTTTTACTTATTATAGGACTTAAATATTTGAATCATGTTAGTGTTTTATGACTTATGTGTTGAACTGTTTGATTTTATGCATAAAATGGCGTATTTATTGTTCACATTAAGGTGAAAAGTAATTTAAAAGAGAGCAAATACAAGATAAGCTCACAAATTCAGTTTTGTATGAAAAACCGAACCGAACCGAATTATAATTTGATTGAACCGACCAAACCAAATTATAATTCCGTTCGAATTCGGTTTGAGGTTTGATTTAATTCAGGGACCCGATATGCATTATTTAGGTTCGGTTTGAACAGAATCGACCGAATGGTCACCCCTAGCGTCAATGTCGAAAAAGGAGACCAATAAACGACAACTCTTAATCATAAGAAAGAATAAAGAGCACCTTCGAGAGTTCATATGCTTATTGTTGTTTGAGAATCCCATGGTGCACACCTTGAATGTTCGACCTAAGGTAGTAAGTATGGTCCTCACCAGAGAGTTTGTGCTTTCACAGTAAGATGATAGTAACATTCATCCTTCTCCATCTACTCTTCTTTATGCAATGAAGAACTAGAGTTCATTCCCATTAATTTGTCTATTATGTTGCATTAGGTTTGAGTAGGTTTGCTTGGGGACAAGCAAACGCCTAAGTGTGGGGGAGTTTGATAACACCTAAATTGGTGTTATTTACCCTTCATATTAAGGTTTGTTTCGTACCAATTCATGTGCATAATTTCTTGAACATCGCATTGCATCCCTATTTTGTTCCTATTTGAATTTGATGTGATTTTAGGGTGCTTTAGACGATACATGCTAATTAGGTACAAAATAAGGTCACAAGTGTATCAAGGGGGCATAAGACTGGAGATCATGGCCTAGAAATGAAGATAACGACTGAGATCATGGACCGCAAAGTCGAGCTGAAGGTCGCGGCCTGGAAGCCCAAGGTCGCGGCCTGGAAGCCCAAGATCGCGGCCGCGAATTGGAGGGTTCAGAGCGCGAACTTCGTGAAGAAGGAGCCATGGAGAAACAAAAAGTTTCCTCGGTTGGATCACGACCATAGTTTAAATTGACTGTGAGGAAGATAACGGCCACGACTTGTGGATCGCGATCGCGAAGTTAGCCTGCAATCTCCTCGTTCGCTATTGAAGATCCCGCATCGATTTTTACCCTGTCTGGCCGCGAACTTCCCTGTCATTTGATTTCCTATAAACAGAATACCCCTTCTCCCTCATTTAGAGAGCTGATTTTGAGATAGAATTTATGGTTTTAGAGAGAAGAGAGAGAAGCCGAAGGAAGGAGAAGAGGAGAAGAAGGAGAAGGAGGTAGAAGAGAGGAGGCATCTTTCTCAACATCAAGACTTCTTCAATTTCTTATATGTATCTTCGTCCCTCCTCCTTTATGGAGTAGCCCTCTAAGGTACTAGGGGTTCTAAACCCAAAACCTAATTTTAGGATTTACCAGGTATGTATGAAAATTTGAGGGGTTGAATGATTGAATGTGTTTATCTAGTTGATTCTATTGCTATTCTGTTTTTTATTATGTTTGGGTAAGTCACCCTAATCTTCTCTATTAGCCTACTTTATGCTTCTACGCTGGGTTTGGAGTTTTAGAGTTAGATGGGTATGCTCCATCAAGCAAATCGAGGTTAGATGTATGAATAGGGACTTTTGGTGGTTGAGGCGAACAAATCTCTACCATAGGTAGCCTTCCTAGATAGAACCCGGGATGAAACCTAGGTGTGGATGGTGGGTACTACCCATTGAATGCAACTACAAGCTTAATGCCCCAGATACGATAACCTAGATTGAGGTGACTATATATGGGTCTAGGTAGGCGTACTCGGAGGCGTGTGGATAACCATGAAAGCCCACGGAAAAGAGCTCACTTACCACATTCAATAAACCCTAAATATCTAGACATTACCTAGTAGCCCTAGGTAGGGTGAGGGATAGTTCTCCGAAGTACCTGATTTTAGCTTTATCAATCTCTAGACTAGTTAATTCGCTCAAATCCTCCACACAAACCCTCAAAACTGATCGACTAAATAACAACGAGGTGGGAAGTAGGCTAGGGTACCAGGACCCGAGTAGAATACGACCTTGATTGTCACTATACGACAATGCCATCTTAGGTTAAACTTGGCCTAGGATGGGTTAGTTGTTTACACGTGCTAGTCATTGACAATAATCTGCACGGATGAATGTGATCATCGTGGCCAGCTCATCATGTCTCCCGCCTGTGGCTTGAAGATGCTTTCATCTATGAATTCTAGCTTATTTTTGTATGCAAGTGCATCAATCATGGTTGCACTCCAATCGTTGTAATTGGTTGTTGTGAGTTTTTGTGGACCCAGAACTTCACCCGGTTGCTCTGACCTATGAAGATATAAGGGATCTTATAGTGGGTATCAAACTGCTAGATAATTTGGTTGTCCAAATTCACCTCCACCGTCAGTTTGGGTGTGTACTGTAGTCTCTTGATATTGTTCTCGATTCACCACTATTCTTTAAGATTAGAAACGAAAAAGCTAGAATGCAGAAGAAGAGGGATGAAGAAAAGAGACAGAGTGGTAAAGGTATGAACCCTAATCAGCTTCCGATACCATAACAACAAATTAGTGTGAAAATGTTTTACGGTTTCAATGCGACCCTTTCCTTCTTTCTCATTTTAAATTTACAGTTACATACTACGGGATCGTTTGGATGAGGACTTCTAATGATCAATCTTACACAATCGTGCCAGATTGACTCGTGTGGCAGCATAAAATTTTGCTTAAGTAATTTGGCCCTGGTGAATTTTGAATTAACTCGTTTTGAGGTAATTACAATTGTTTGGGGTGAGGGCAGGTAATTCGAATGAATTCATTTTACATGTCTCATTTCGAAATTGATCCATCCAAACGATCCATACAATCTATAAACATCCATCTCTGCTAGTATAAAACCATTATAGTGACATAAATAGGGATGGCAATGGGTAGGGTCGGGTGCGGGTTTACCCTATACCAACTCCTAACCCGCCGGGTAGAGCCTTCTAAAATATCCGACCAAATAACCACCGGGTATGAAAATTATATAACCATACCCTACCCACCGGGTAACCACGGGTATTCTGGTAACCATGGGTACGAATCCTAAACTATGAACTTATACACATATATGCACATACATACTTTTGTCCATTAAAAATTCTCAATACTTGTAATTGTTCTAGGTTCAACAATCTACACAAATAAAAACAGCAAACACATAATAATTGCTCTTGCTTCTACAATCCACACAAACATAATAATCGTCTACATCTTCATCTTCAATAATGGTAGCTAAACTCAATTTCTCAATCCAAACTAAATTTCTCATGGGAAATTGACCATTTGGTTAGCGGGGCGGGTATTATCAATTACCATACCCGTACCCTATCCTTTATTTTGAAACCAGATATTACCCGTACCCACCCCTTAACCTGTCAAAGTGGGTAATTACCTTCGTTAACCGATTACGGTCGGATAGGATACCCATAATTACGGGTTGGATTGACATCCCTAATCATAAACATCCATCTTCTGTTAAAGGTCCTGACTCCTGCGTCTTGTTCTGTGACTGTGAGTCTCTCTCCCACCACTGGGACTTTGTGGAGCGTGATTGCTGAGATTCTGCGAACTGGAAACTCCTTTCTATTCTACCTCCTCTTCTTTGGCGGGACTTGCAAAAGGGAGAGAAAAAAAAAAGCAATAAATATCTGGCGGAAAATCTGGCATATTGGGAATCCAAATCCCATATATATTAAAAAATCTTCCTTCCTTCCTACTCTTTCGCAATTTGGTAACGGGGAACGGTGCCATTGCCTTCTTCTTGAGTTCTGCCAGCAGCCGCGGCTCCCTTTCCTTCCTTCACCGACTGAACCGCTGTTTGTGTTACGAAGGGTTTTAGTTTTGCTGAAAAGCCTCCACTGATTTCGCTTTTCAACAGAGGTTAGAAAGAAGAGGTCCCTGAAGCTCTAATTGCGATTCGGTTAGTGCTCCCCTTTTCCTTCGTTCCTTTTGGTTTTTTAATTCCGTTTCACGTTGTGACATGGAGTTCTTCTCCAATTTAATCATATCTGGGTAAGCCTTTGTTTTAATCATGTGGGTTCTCTGGTTCTCGTCACTGCCGCTCTCTCTCCCGGATTGAGTCTGCTCGATCCGTACAATTTTCACATCACCGCCATTTTTTTGCTCTGTTTCTTTCTGGGTTGGTTTCCGGTTCCTTTCATTTCCCCTGTTTCCAGTCTCATCTTTTCCGCGTCACTGAGTTTTGCCGGAGACCTCCTCTGTCAATTTTTTGTCTTCTATGCCAAACTCTTTTCTATGCCAAACTCACGGGAGTGGTTTTTGATTTTTCAAACCATTACTGATATTCTGTGGCGGTATTGTTTCCCGAAGAATGCATGTGCTTAGAAATATCTAATTTTGTTAGAGCCAAAAAGCATAATGGAATTTATCTACATTTGTTTTTGTGTTCCTGTCAAAACTCAAAAGTACCACGGGTTGGTGTTGTGCCATATAAGGTAAAATTGGGGTTGCTATCTCATTCTCTTAACATTTGTGAGGATCTAGTGGGTTGTGTTTCTTCATGTACTGGCCTCTAAATGAAACATGGAAGCTCTTCACGGCTTGCCCTGGTTTTAGCTAGAATTTAGAGTGTATGTTCTGTTTGCACAAGCAGTAATGGCATTAGTCTCCTTTTCCCTGGCCGAGTTCAATAGTGTTCACAAACGTGATATGGCTTCTTAGTGTCACAGTAGTATCTCACTGGGTGATTAGGCCACACTGAATTTGTTTTTGGGTATCCATTGTTTACTACTACAATCTTCAAGGTGCCTTGGGGAAACTGGAAATCTCATGTAGTGTGGTGGGGTTGTATTGTACTTACAGTGTGTAATGGCATTTAGCTCTGGAGGATTGACTTCTTTTGTGGTGACGATTATTTGGCCCCAGCACTTCCAGTAGTTTTCTGCATACAAACTTGTTTCAAGTGGGTAGTCAATAGTCATGTGGTTAACGGTAGGGAATCATTCATTTGGAGGTCACTTCTCTACAACAAGCTGATTTGTTTGTTCTTCAATTTATCCAATTAAGGGTGTTCCTGATAGATATATTATTAATGCGTACTCTTTCGAGAATTTCCATTTGGTTGCTGTTGTTCATCTAATTATTTTTTCTATAATTTGTGCACTCTTAATTGCTCTGCTTTGGTGGATTTGCTAGGGGGACCAACACTTGAAAAGATGAGAAAAAGCCCTTCTGGTTCCGAATCACACCCAAAGAAGCAGGGTCTGCTGAAGGACCAGGTTAGGTTGGCAAAGAGGAAAGATTCTGAGCGTTATGAGATTGTTCCAATCCAAGACTCCTTGTCGTTTGAGAAAGGCTTCTTTGTAGTCATACGTGCATGCCAATTACTAGCCCAAAAGAATGACGGGATAATATTGGTCGGTTTAGCCGGTCCTTCTGGGGCTGGTAAGACCATGTTCACTGAAAAGATTATCAACTTCATGCCCAGTGTTGCTGTCATATCTATGGACAACTACAATGACGCTAGCCGAATTGTTGATGGGAATTTTGATGGTAATTTTCTTGTCGATAATATATTTTCTACGAGCTGTAAAGTCTTTTTATTGGCTTGGGGCCCCATCGGTGCAATAGTTGGAAGAACGGTTTCATGGTGTCTTTTATTCTTTTCTATAACGAGATTCTATTTTGACATTTAGCTTATGCATCATTTGATCAATTGTTTGCATGGCAGAAATCTCCATTATGATGTGTTCTTCCAGTTGCCTCAAGAGAATACAGAAATAGGGATGATTGATCAATTGAGTTATGGAGTTGTATATGTTTGATTCACTTGACAGACATATGCCATCATGCTTATAGGAGCATGTATTCTACGTTTAGCCGTTTTCTTTAAGAAATTCAAGGATGTGTAGCCTTGTGTTCTTGCAATTATTTTATTTAATCAATGGAAGAGCTCTTTATTCTGTACATCAAATGGAGACTCATATTGAAGCTGATTTTCTTTAATGAATGAAATCATTTTGAAACTTATCGAGTCTTGGATTTTTGGGTGTTACCATCTCTCATTCATATATAGACTTTTGGGTTCCGTGATGTAATGTTGCATTCCGATAGCATGAAAGAGCTGTACAGTTCTTATCTAAGTCTTAGTTGTTTTCATTTTAATGCAATTAATATGACTGCATTTTAGTGCATTCAAGAGTTCTGTTTAGCTCTTCTGTTGTATGTGAATTCACGAACTTCTTTTATGTTACAATCTAGCCGTTACTCTGAAAAAAAGCGGGTTTCTGTATGCTGCACACACAGGTTGCTTGATTAGCAACTATTATTGGAAGCTTCAGAAGTTGCAGACTAGAGTCAATTAATTTTAGTGCTCCTAAATTGAAGAGTAAGTCTTCATGTGTTGCTACTTTGTTTCTTTTGAGCAGATCCAAGATTGACTGACTATGACACATTGCTACAAAATGTACAAGATTTAAAAGCAGGAAGATCTGTTGAGGTCCCTATCTACGATTTCAAGTCTAGCTCTCGCACCGGATACAGGTTCTCATTTATAAATGTAGAAAGAAAGAGTTGCTATAATCTGTACTTTATTTAACTTCTTAAACATGTGATTGTAGTTATCTTCATAGACAGATCAATGCTGTTTTGTTTATTTTTATAATTGATATAGCTTTCATTCAACACCTTGAAAGTTGGTAAAAACTTATGTTCAGTGTTTCAAATTGCAGAACCGTGGAAGTTCCTGATTCTCGCATTGTGATTATTGAAGGGATATATGCACTGAGTGAAAGGTTACGACCATTGCTGGATTTGCGAATATCAGTAAGAGGGGGAGTTCACTTTGACCTTGTGAAGCGGGTTTTACGAGATATCCAACGTGCTGGGCAGGAACCAGAAGAAATAATCCACCAGATATCGGAGACAGTTAGTTTTGTTCCTTGTGTCGCTGTATTAAGCTATTTATTGTGTCCTATTGGCTTTCCAAGTATCAATGCTCTCTTGCTTCTGCAGGTATACCCAATGTATAAAGCCTTCATAGAGCCAGATCTTCAAACTGCTCATATAAAAATAATTAACAAGTTCAACCCATTCACTGGATTCCAGAATCCTACTTACATCTTGAAGGTTGATTTCTTTGCTGGTTTCATTTGGTTTACATTTATGTGTTTTCCTTTGCATTTACTAGTGTTGTTGTTGTTGATTTGGGTTTTTTTATGAATCCTCCCTTTATATTGGAGCATGTGATTTTGCGGGATGCTGATCAAGAGTCATTTTTCCCCTACATCTATGAATGTATAGGTTTCTGAGTCACTTCATTCTGTTGTAGTCAGCAAGGAATGTGGCCATAGATCTGATCAAGTCTGTCTTCCCTGAAGTACACACAGAGACAACAGAGCAAACATATGATATATATCTTCTACCACCTGGTGAAGATCAAGAGTCTTGCCAATCATATCTCAGGATGCGCAACAAAGAAGGAAAATACAATCTTATGTTTGAGGTTTCTGCCTCACCTTCCAATATTTTAATAAATCAATATCTAAATTTCCAAGGATCATTACTTGCATGAAATTGTAGAAATTTGGTTTCCCAAGTAACTGTAAATGCATGGTACTTGGCTACTGTACTGTAACCTTTGGAACCAAACTCTGTACTTTTTATCTTTATATTGTTTGAGATGTTGCTTTCAATGCCAGGAATGGGTGACTGATGCTCCATTTGTTATATCTCCGAGGATAACATTTGAAGTTAGTGTGCGTCTGCTTGGTGGGTTGATGGCACTGGGGTATACAATTGCGACCATCCTTAAAAGGAGTAGTCATACATTCTTTGATGATAGAGTATGTGTTAAAGTTGATTGGCTAGAACAGCTGAATCGTCAGTATATCCAGGTATTGTGTCATACTTCCTATTTGTTCATCTACTTGTCCATCCTTCGACTCAATAGCAGAATTGTCAAAGTAGAGTTCTGTTCTTGCTCGACTCCTCCTTTAAGTGTATGTATATATGTGTGGCAGTTGGATTATTTGTGCGTTATAGTGCTGCATTTCTGTCCTTGAACTGCTCTCGATCATTCTGACCTCAGATGTTTGCTTGTCTCTGAAAAAAGGTGCAAGGAAGAGATCGGCTTGTTGTGAGATGCATTGCTGAGCAGCTAGGTTTGGAAGGTTCCTACATCCCGCGTACTTATATAGAACAAATCCAACTGGAGAAGCTTGTAGATGAAGTGATGGTATGCCAACATATACTATTTATGATTAGTTATATCTATTTCTTGTGAATTTCGTTCATGCTTAGAAAGATGGTCTCTTGTGCAGGCTTTGCCTGATGATTTGAAGACAAAGCTAAGCCTAGATGAGGACTTAGTTTCTAGCCCCAAGGAAGCACTTCTTCGAGCCTCTGCTGACAGGGTCGCTATGAGAAACAAGAATCTCAGAAGGTTTGAATTTAGAGCCGTTTTTGTAGTTCTTGACATCTTTATGCTTCTTACTTTTTCTCTTCTCTAATCATCCCATACCAACCATATATCTTGCTTATGGACCATTGTTGTTGTCGTTGTAGCAGTGGTATGTCACACTCATATACAACTCAAGGAGACAAAAGCTACTCCAAGCTCACTGCAATTCCAGCCAGCAACCGAAGGTACGAAGACAGAAATTCAGAGCCTCAATCAATGCTGGCAAATCAGGTACTAGTTCAGCGTTCTTCACTTTGATTTTTTCTTCTTCTCCAGTACAGCCTAAAGGAAGCTGTGGCTGAAATTCTTGGTTGATTTCGTTTTTCCTTGCCCTTAAAAAAGGGAGTGATTACGCAGCTTTCAGAACAGATGTCTTCGCTAAATGACAGAATGGATGATTTTACATCCCAACTAGAAGAATTAAACTCCAAGCTAACGGTGGTGAATAATAATAGTTCTCCAAGCCCGCAGCAGAACATGGGGTTGCATGGCGGTGATGCGAGCAATGGCTCCGCTCCTACTTCTTACTTTGTGTCTGGATTGAGTAATGGTGCCCTAGCTGGATCCAAACTGTCCCATTCATCGTCACTTTCCCAGCTGGCTAAGGATTCACCACTTCTGGAAGAGGTAACCATAACTGCTCCCTTTTGATTGAAATGAACCTATTGCTTATCTAACTTGACCATGTAGACAGTCCCTCTTATCACCTAAGTCTCGGTTTCTAGATTGTGCGAGGACAACGCCAAGTCATGCACAAGTTAGATAGTTTCAGCAGTCTCCTTCATGAGGTGACAGCAGAGAGGTCAAGGCAATCCAGGAAAAGAAACAGTCTCACAACACCTGACTTTGATGCCATAGGAGTTCCTGTGGTTTTAACCCTAGCAATTGGAGGTTTAGGGCTGTTACTGTTTAGGAGCTTTCGTACCCTGGGTTAGCAGAGATTAACTGAACGGCAATTCTCTTTTTCTTTTCCTAATTTTGATTCCCATATGACCTCGACCTTTTTTTGTCCTGGGTAACTTGTCCCTCATTGAATGCAATGCAATGCGAAACAGAAATCTGCTTCTTCTAGGAAAGTTGTACCAATTTTTTGGGCTTTTGATGAGTAGAGTTTATGGAATGCGGACAAATTGTAAGGGAAGAGCGGTCAATTTTTGTAGCTGGGGGACATGAGAAGCAATGAAAAAATCTTACGAGAAAGTAGAGCTCGTTAGAAGCACGGCTGGAGTTCTGGGCTCTGGAAATTGATGGCTATGTTCTTCCTCTACTTAACCTTCTCTTTTATAGAATGCTCTTGCTCTACTCTACCTCCGTTGTACTGTGCCTTCTTTGTTTACCGACGTTAACTTCTCAGCAAGACAAGCAGTGAAATGTGATGCCGACTCAAGGTCTGAATCATGTCATGATGTTTTGACTGCGGTTCACGTTCGAAAAGAACTGTCAGGATGGAGTCTCACAGTACCCTTCTTAGACGTGTGATGGAAGTTGTCAACTATACAAAATTCTTAAAGATATTTTATCTGGGAAGCGAAAGATGGAGGTTGTTGTTATGGTTTCCTTAAGTACAGTTTCTTCAACCATGATTGCTTGCAAGGGACTTCCACCAAAGATGAGAGATCTAGGAGTTTTCACAGGAGGGTTGTTATTTGACGCCCGCGTATTTACTATTTGCCGCCCGTTTTATCGGGCGGTAAATAGCTATTCACTTTCACAATCCCGTGTACTTTTGGTGATAAAACCAGTGTTGTCAAAACCGAGCCGAGCCGGTCGGTCGGACCGGTAAAACCGGGACCCGATCACCAGCCCGGTTCGGAACAGTTAAAAAAACGCTACGGTTGAATTGGCCGGCTAGTTAACGTTTTGAACAATTAACCGCCAAAACCATTCAACCCGGTCAGCCGGCTCTAAGCTATCAAATCCCATATTGAATGAATTAATACGGTATCCGAGAAGTGCACAGGAGTTGAGACGCTGGGCTGTCTCTTCGCTTCCCGGAAAATGGGCTTTTCACCTCTTTTTTGGTGCGCCAATAATCTTTTTAGCTAGCATTAGTTTCTTCTTTTTTATTTATTAAAAAACACATTCATTCTCTCAAATTATAAGGTGGAATGCTGCATGCGTTGAACTTTTCCTTCCCAATGCCATCTGCATGTCTCGTATGGATTTTTTAGTTTTTAGCTTTTTTTTGGTTAATTAAATGGACAAACTACATTTTTTCCGCATAATTTAACATTTTCATAATCATAATGCTAGATGGTCATTACTAGAAATCTAAATTTTGGATTTTAGAACTAAAAAGGAAAATTAATAATTATATAAATTTGACTATTTATTCATTGTTTTTATTTGAAAATAGTGTGGTTCATATGATGTTTGAACTTTTGAACTTTAATACTCATATTTTAAATTTGTTTATTATTGATGAATTCTATTGTGAATTTATGGTCTAATATGTATAGAATTTATCATATTCTTGTTTATAAGGTATCGGTTCGTTAACGGTTTTTAGCGGTCTAACACCGGCCGAACCAATAAAGTGCGAGCCGCTCACTATATCGGTTCATACTCCGGTTCGGTTTTGACAGCATTGGATAAAACCCTATGAAATCCCTTGCAAGATTTGGGATCAAGCATCAACATCATACTAACAAAGATTTGTCATGAGCTCGATATTGGTCCCCTTAGACCGATGAACATGAAGATATAATTAGCTATAATCGGTCGGTGGCAATGCCTAAGGGTGTGGTGAACGTCTTGGTGAAGTGTGTTGATTTCATCTACCCCGTGAACTTTGTGATAATGGACATGGATGGTTTGTAATGAGGTACCTATCATTCTTGGAAGACCATTCTTGGAACTATCACTGACGTGAGTGCCAAGCAACCGTATCACTTTGAAGTTTGGTTAGGAGGAGATTCGTTACACTGTGACTCCAATTCCTTCGTTTCACAAGTAGTATTGTGAGTCGGTAACTCCTACCCATACACCACCCTCTAGTCCAGAAATCAACATGCTCGAGGTTCTCTTGATCCTTTTTCTAATCAAGATCAATTACCATATTTGAGTGCGGTCAATTCAATTATCGACACCTTAATTGCTTAAGAATAGGAACTCGATTTAACAAACATGGGCCAGGATTCTAATCCAAATTGAACTGTTTCAAGATTGTTTCTAGCTTGAACCCAGATGGACCAATTTCCACTTGAAAATAGTTGGCATCTAATTCAATTCACTCAACAACAAAGCCTGTCGAAAAAATTCGCAAAAACCATTAGACAAGACAATTTAAGCCAACGAAGTCATCCATTCAATGAAAGTGATGCAAGCTAAACTAGGATATACAGGATGAAGCAATTGGGTGAACATAACATAGGGGAAATACTTAAGCTGCATTGTGTAGTGTTCCAGTAAAGATATTCACACATTCACGCACCAAATATCAGAAGCAAAGAGCTGAAGAACAAATAGGGGAAACAATGAACTCACTCGCTCCCCATACCTCCCCAAGGTGAGATCTTCTCCCTCTGTTCTTTCTTTGTCCATAAGCATATAGAAAATGGACTTAAAAAAGGAATAATAGGGGGCGCTGCAAATCCAAACCTGATAATCACAACCATTGCCTAGCTAAATAAGTCATGCTATTTTATTGCAGAGGCTGCCTGCCAGCAGCACTCCCGAGCTACTCGCTTTCTGAAGAGTAGGCATCATCCGAGCTGTCGCCATCTTCATCCGAGAAATCGCCTGAGTTCACGTGAGGGTTGTAGGCGACATAGTTGACTTTTCCTTTCTCTGAGGCTTGTGGCAAATCCATCAGTTGTGCAATAATCACTATTTCGTTATAGTCCGGATTGATGATGGGTTCAACAGTCATCTCATTCAGCTTCGGCGAATTTGCCATCACAAATTTGATAAACCTCATTTCAGAGTCGTCACCGTGGAATGACCTCACCCTTGCATTACACAATTGGTCCAAGGAACACGTGGGATGTTTATCTTCTTCCCAGAACTCTAAAACAGCAGCTTGTGCAGCTTCATTATCACAGCTACAGGCCTTCATGAGAAAAAGTGATCAGCAACAGCTTTTTTTTTTTTTGGTTCTGTTTAACAGAATTCTCAAGTAACAGAATTATCAGACAGCTACCTAGTTTTACTCCACTCACCTTAATCTCAAGTAATTGCAAGTTAGGGAAGCATTGAATCAAGGAAAGAAGACACGAGACTTGGTCCATCTGCTTGAAGCAGAATTCATCCAATCCAAGAGTTGTAACATTGTTGTAACAAGTGGAGACCTGAGCCAGTCTATTCCCTGCAGCCAAGAACTAGACAAAAGAGCCAAACAGCAGGGTGAAAAAAAAAGGAAGCAAATTTCTCAGCAGAGGGAAGGGTTTTTTTGAAATGTGATGTAAATACAGATGGGGATAAGTTGCAAGTTGATACCTTCTTAAAAGGACACCGCACGTAGAGCTCCTCAATAGCAGGAGGCAGTCCACGGATTATGAATCTTAAATCGAAGTTGTTCTGCTCAGACACAATTCGGTACATATTTAAAGACAAAACAGCAAGAAGAGGAGTATTGAAGCACATGGACTTGAATTCTCCACCAAAGCTCAAGTACTTAAGGTTAGAAGCGTTGATATGAAGATGATCAACGCAGCTCAATTTCTTCACGATCAGTGTCTCAAGCTGTGGGCAACTAGCCAACAGACTTTCAAGGGCTTCTTTTGATATAGTTATTTTCTTAAGATCAAGGTTCACGAGATTCCTAAACCCCCGAAAAGTACATGGGGGTCTGAACAGAAAATAACGAAGGGTCAAGTGCCTTAGTTGTTCGCAAAAGAACAAATCCAAGGGCACATCATGACGAGTACCCCTTTGAACTTTAAGGGTGAGTTCTTGAACAGACTTTCGGGATAACCGCCACATCCATGATTTCATATCGTAGAAAAACTTCACCGTGCCAACAGAAAGCGAGCAAATCTCGATGTCTCCAGCATGTTTGGTCAGAATATAAGTGATGATGCCCTCAATCTGCGATTGCATTCTTTCACTCAACATTTTCTCCTCAAGTACAATACAGGACACTGTATGCCATTTTTCCTTCCAATGCTTGGATAAGCAACTTGTCCTCGCAGCTTCTTTTGTTGACAAACATGATAAAATGTTATCTATCACATTGCCTGGAAGAGAGCTTAATCTATCTATTGTCGCTGAACTAGGACCGCCAGTCTCCATACCAGCTTAATGCATACAAAATCAGGGATTCGAACTGCAACAAAATGAAACCCACAGGATCAGCGTTTCGGTTAGAACTGAACCGCAGGTTCTTATCATTGCTGAATCTTGGGCAGACTATATAAAAAATCCTCAAACATCAACACATGGAAGCTAAACATAGATTGAATGGAGTTTGGAAACATCAGCAGCCTAACATGTCAATACGCTATGTAGACAGTGTGTAGTCTGTAGATACATCAAAAGGGCCATTAGACAACCTTCCAATCAGGATATTCCATGCAAAATACAGGCATTTAAGGAGACAAAAACACACCTTTCATCAATCAAGAACAAACCCAACAAACTGCAAAGAGCAATCAAACAACTCAACCACACGAACAGGGAAAAGAGAAAAAGAACCCCAAAAAGATCAGTACAATGAACGACGATTGTACTCGGAACCCCACAATCAATCAATTGCCAATCACGAGAAAGATCCCAAAGATTGCAAGTTGATAGATTCCCAATTTCACAATCGCATAACGAATTCGCAAGAGAAGGAACCCGGAAGATCACTCCCTCGGCGGCGGGGCGAATTGAATGGGGTGAACTGACGAACACCCAAATATCGAAAGAGGAACGACAGGCGAACCCGTAAAGGAGGGTGGAAAGAATCTTACATCTTAATAAAATTCAGAAGAGAAGAAATCCTTCAGCCGCTTCTGCTTGCTACTACGAACAACGAAAAGCGAATACTGAGCTAAGCTTTGTGCTATTGAGATTAGATGCTATTGTTTCTCGGCTCGACGGTTCTGTTAAGCTACTAGCCTTTTAATTAACAGAAAAGTCCACCTCCACTCCTCCAGTGAGTCTACACCCTTTTTTTCCTTTTCTAATTTTAGCGTGTCTACACTGGTACGCGCAAATATGGCTCACTTTACTGGGTTAGTACTGCCAGAAATACTAGCAGCCCAATGGAACTTCGACACGACGAACTTTCCTACTGTGAAACTTTTCCCGGAAAATCAAATAAGTCCTCCTTAAGCCGGAAAAAGCAAATCTGAACAGAACAAGGCTAAGAATTCAAGCCTAAAACTTGGAGGAGAAGGTTTTTTACGGGAACTTAGTGGAGAAGTTAGAGAGTTAGTACAATGCTAATTACTCTAATAATCATTTATTTTTTTATGTTGAATCTGACCATTATTTGTAGAATGAGTGTAGCACACAAATAATTTTATAAAAGTAGATAAATAAA